CAGACCTCCGTTCCAGACCTCCGTTCCAGACCTTGCCTAGAAACATGATCCAGACCTTCCGTTCCAGACCTTGTTTATATATTTATGTCTAGTTTAGAGTATTTACGGTAAGGTGATTTGGTAGGTTATTGACTCCCCCCTTTGTTTTGCCAAATGCTACGCGTTAAGGCTGGTATTCGAGAGAAGCCTGAGGTGCTAACGATGGGGTTTGCTTGTCGAGCTTTGGTGGTTGGGGCTGCGTGGCTTGTAATCATTGGGACTTGGATGGAATTAAGCAGCGGTCCTGTTGACAGATGTGTTTTTGGAACGGCCTGTGAATGTTAAGGGTCAACCCCGCCGCAATCTGTTCGATACGATACGGTAACGGTTCGATACCGCTCTCGGTCGTCACATTGTTGAAACGACCATGTTTACATGCAGCTTGCTACCAAGTGCAAGCCACTCGCGTAACCGTTCCAGACCCCGTTCCAGACCCGTTCCAGACGTGTTCCAGACACAGCGGAGCAATTTGCCACCAAGTCCACATGCACAGTAGCTACGCTTCTTACGCGGCCCGCCATGCCGCCGAAGAAGCCTTCAAGGAGGTGCCGTATCGTACGGCCGCGCGCCCCTGATCGCTTCATCCATCCATCTACCCATTCATTCATTCATCCATCCATCTATCCATCTTACACTAAATGAACGAGCAAAAGGCTAAACTCTCTCGTCATAAAATATGTCTTCGGCGATTTCGCGTTGCTTGTTTTGTATTTTTCCCCAGGAACGATATAGCGAAGCCCCAAAAACGATAACGTCGCATGACGTGCAACTGGCGCTTCGCGCTTCTCTTTTGCACTGTGTGAGCCGTTTTTTGCCCCAAGCTGTAAGTTGCCATGACAGCTCCTGTTGCATGGTGGGATGGATCGCTAACGCACCCGCGCACACGCACACGCACAGGCGCCCGCAGGCACCGGCGCACGCTGCGACCTTCGAGCTGGAGCTGCCAAAGTGTAACTTGCGTACTGCGCTGGTACTGAAAGTTGCGACTTGCGACCTGGAAGTTGCAGCCAGCAAGCAAAGCCGCCAATGCTTGGGAGCCAGAAGCATAGTCTAGTCCGCTGATCACATGACTACCGCAAGGTAGAGAAGGCTCTTGTGCGCTTGCTTGGCTCTAGCTTATAGCAAGTTTGTTTTTTTTCGTGACACTACACGCGCCCAGAACGATACCCAAAACGACACCCCATCGATACTCCGAGAACGTCCCGGAGCAGCCAATGTGAGGCCTACCTAGTGCGTTTGCTTTTTCAACCACACGCGCAGCTCCTTCAGCGCACATCATTCCGCGCGCACAAAGGGCCCGGATGCGTTGGCGGGCTTGCGCTTGCTCCTCAGAGATCTGCTGCTGCAGGAGGATGGGAAGGCCTGACTTGCCCGAGCAGATCTGTGATCCGGAAGGCTTTGGAGAAGAGCCCGAGCTCCAAGAGTGTTGCCGCAGAAATTGCTCACTGCAGGGGGTTCGCCGGGCACTTTCCAAATCCGCACGGCGTCGCAGGGAGGGCGCTTTGACACGGGCAATCCTCGCAGAGGGTTCATTGGGCGCTTTGCACGCTCGCGAGACCCGAACAGAGGGTTCTTCGGGCACTGCACCCACGCGCGAAACGCGGAGAATCATAGGGGACTCGTTTAAAGTAGAATGAATACAGCCCACACAGCAAATATTGACGCTGGCTCATGAGTCACGGTCAAAATATGCGTCGATCACTTTATCAAGGCGGGGTTGGTCTTTGGGTTCCGGAACTGCACGCCTTGTTTTTGTGGTTGCCGGAAGGGCCAAACCATACCCACAAGCCAGCCAAACCATACCCACAAGCCACTGGACACTCAAGATGCGCCTATTGGGTGCTTTTGACCAAAACTACACTCACCGGCTTGTTACTCAAAACTGCGTTCCCCGGCTTCTATTTGGAGGTTGCTGGAAGGGCCAAACCATACCCAAAAGTAATTTTGGAGCGTCGAAAACACATTTTCGGATCATTCGGGGGGTGTGAACTGCATTCTGGGCCACCGATTGCTCTCCTTCCTACTGCTCATGCTTCTTGCTTGCACCCGCAGGCGCCACAGTCGGCACGCCAAACCATACCCAAAAGTAATTTTAGAGCGTCGAAAACACCTTTTCGGATCATTCGGGGGTGTGAACTGCATTCTGGGCCACCGATTGCTCTCCTTCCTACTGCTCATGCTTCTTGCTTGCACCCGCAGGCGCCACAGTCGGCACGCCAAACCATACCCAAAAGTAATTTTAGAGCGTCGAAAACACCTTTTCGGATCATTCGGGGGGTGTGAACTGCATTCTGGGCCACCGATTGCTCTCCTTCCTACTGCTCATGCTTCTTGCTTGCACCCGCAGGCGCCACAGTCGGCACGCCAAACCATACCCAAAAGTAATTTTGGAGCGTCGAAAACACCTTTTCGGATCATTCGGGGAGTGTGAACTGCATTTTTGGCCACCGAAGTACTGCCTGCTCAAAACGATACCCAAAACGACACCGACACCACACCCCTCGTGCTCGCATGGTGCTGCTGTGCTTCAAGTTGTTTACAGGTCTCGCTTACAACTACCAAGTCACCGGACAGCAGTCCGGGCTGCGAGGCGCACGCACGCAACGTGTAGCTGGTTTTGGCACATGCCCTGGACTGAGAGAATATGGGCAAAATTTTCTGGTTTTGGAGGGCTGCCTGAACGATACTCTGAACGATGCCTCAACGACACCCGGAAAGCGCCACCGCTTACCCATCAATCAGTGGTCAGCGTGTGGGCCCTGCTCCACCTCCCATGCTTGGAACCAGCGTCAAAAAGCATGTCATGGAGCTTGTGCGGAGGCGCAGCATCTACACCCTTCCTGCCTTCCTGCCTTCCTGCCTTCCTGCCTTCCTGCCTTCCTCTTGCTCCCTTCCTTCTTCTGCCCTGCCTCCCTTCCTCTTCTGCCTCCCTTCCTCTTCCTCCCTTCCTCTTCCTCCCTTCCTTTCCTCTTCCTCCCTTCCCTTCCACCCTCCTTTTTCCCTTGCCCCATCCTTCCTTGCTCCCTTACTCCCTGGCTTCCTCCCCATCCTTCTTCCCTTCGTCCTTTCTCCTCCTGCTTTCTCTTCCTCCCAGTTTCTCTTCCTCTGCTCTCTTCCTCCATTCTTTCTCTTTCCCCCTTCCACCCTTCCTTGACATAAACACACCAGTGTCTGAAACATTGTAGAAGGATATAGCGAAGCCCCAAAAACGATAACGTGTTGCTCGAAATCGCCTAAAGTAGTCTTAGGTTTTGCCTCTCGCTCGACGTGCTTGAGGACTCCACACATGTCTTCCCAGAGGTCCGGAACAACCAGCCTTACGTAACTGACTCGTTCCAGACGTCCGCGTCACCGCGGAACGTTCCACACCAGAATATTGACCCACACCCACATGGCTGTGGTTGTCAAAAACCGGTACCCAAAATGGGTTGCCCGATCGGTAAGTGGAAACATGGACTAAAACCTGCGTAACCCCCCCCCCCCCCGCCCCTGTTAATTTTGACCCACACCCACATGTGGCCATGGGTCAAAATCCAAGTCGTACCCCCAGTCCCAATCCAACCACGAAAATAGGTTCTCAAATGGGTGGTGAATTCACCTACCCCCAAATGGGATCCCCTTGGTTTTGACAACCACAGCCATGTTTGTTCGTGGTTTGTGTGTCAGATGTGCTATGATCTAGATATCCCGCGAGCGTCAGGCAGAACCCTACCCCGGTTGATTCCATGCGCTCGTAATCCTTTCAAGCAGCCTTTTCTCAGCTTCCATGATGGAACTGACTCAAAGTCCCAATGTCGGTCGAGCAGCCCGCTTCTCGTTTTTCACAGGCAAGCTTCCTTTGGCCATGCGTGGTTGGAGTTTCAATCAAACCCAGAAGAGGCTAGAATACATTTATTTAAAAAAGGGAAGAAACCCACAAAAAAGCATCCATATCTCGGGATTCTGGGCGTTGAAGAAAAGCCGAACAAATCGGGAGCTTGAGACTTGAAACAAAAAAAACACTCCGCTTCCTCTCGCGTCCAAGGCGCCCACGCCTCGCGTCTCTTCTCGCCGTGTCGCGTTCCAGGTCGGCCGAAGGCCCGCGAGCTCCAGCCGCGCCGTGGGCTCTGCGGCCCGGCGGGTGATGGAGGCAACCGGTTGGTCTCTGAAGGGTTGGAGAAGGTAAACCGAGGAATTTCAGAGGTGGGCTGAGAAAAAGAATCTCACCGGAGTTTCTTTGTTTTTTTGGTTCTTAAGGAGTTGGAGCCTCCAAAATGGTTGTTTGTGTGGAATAGCTGTACGACATGCATGTCTCTGCTTGCTGTTTTTGGTTTTTGCCAACACTAGGGCAACCCCAAAATGGGTTGCCCGTTCGGTAAATGGAAACATGGACTAAACCCTGCGGTTTTCTGGTGGTTAAACATTTGACGATGGGGTACCAACTAAAAAAAAAGTATACCCAAATGGGTCACCAAAAGTGGTCTGATGTTTTTTTTTCGGGGAAGCCCCCTTTTGGGTGATTGATTCCGGAAACCGAAGGAAACGATTCATTTTGGGTTCAATGAAATGGACATGGAGTGTTTTGAGAATACTCCCGCGGTGGTTTCAAAGGGCAGAAATCGGAGATCCTGGAAGAGAGGTGGGACTTGGTCAAATGGTCCTAGGACTTATGAGGACCACAGCACTGGCATTTCTGCAGGTGAAAGTCGTGTGTGGACCTCCCCCCCCCAATTGGCCGTCAAGAAAGACACGACCCCGTTTTGGTTGGTAGTTTCAGGGAAACCAAAAGGAAACCAGAGATGTTGTTTCAAGGGTTTTAAGCCGTTTTAGATTTTGGTTGACAATGGGTTAACCGTTAACACGGCGGGTTGACATGGGCTAACCTCCAGTGGATGTTAGCCCAAGGGGGACGCACGCCTTGGGGTTTCAGCCACGAGAAACCTGGAGTGCACATGACCTTCGGCTGGCCGGCGTGCGATTCTGTTCGCGTCCTTCGACTTGGAGCCACAGATCAAAGCGCCAGAATCCTTCTCTGACCAGTTGCCACACAGGGAAAGGATCAAAGTAGAATGCTTTATTAGGCGCACGTGACCAGGGGTTGCCAAGAGAAAAATGCAAAGGAGAAGCTGACGTGGAGCTGGCGCATGTTGGGCATCGTTCCTCTCTGAACCGCTCTGCCAGGCTCGCTCGGCGACGCCGGAGGTGGCCAGTCGAGGGCCGCTTGGCTTTCGAGCCCCCGAAGCGAACGGTTTGTGGGGCAAAAGTGGCGGCGGCAGCTTTTGCGGTTTCTGCGGTTTCGGTTTTTGTGGCTGTCTCAGCAAGCAGATTGAGTAAACAGGGTTTTGACTGGGACCTTTGGCACTGGGACCTCAGGCCGGACAGACTGCAAGACGCAATCACTCCGGCGGGGGCCTCGGCTCGTTAAACGTGCGACCGCTTAGGTGAGACGTAGGATCGGATGGCTGGAAGCGGGGCGTGGATCAAGTAAACAAGTGGCAAAAAAGAAAGCATGCGTGTTTCATCGCGGTCCTACAAGTGTGATGCTGCATTCTAGAGGTGACTCGTGCTTTTGATCCGAAGAAATGTCCGAAGTTGGGACTCCTCGAAAGATGTGTTTCATCTTGGTTTCCCCGCCTGGAAACAAACTATTTCTCTTGGTTTCCCCCTGAAACAAACAAAGAAGGATTTCCCTTGAAATGAAGGTTCATCAAAAGTACGGCTTTTGCTTGAATTCATCCAAGAAAGGAATCTTGACCTAGCCTTACCCACTCGCGAGAAAAGCGCCGAGGCCGGCACTCGCGGGGAGCCCCACACATCGCAAAAAAGACCGGTTTGGCTCGCGTCAGGCCAGGGAGGCGATTTTTCCAAAAGCAAAGTGGCAGTTGTGGTGTTTCGTTGCAGTTGGTTGCTTCGGCCATACATTTCTGTTCTGTCTATATTGGAGTTTGCCTTCGTGCTTTCCTTGGATAAGTCACAGTTTCACAGACTGCGAGATCCTGCGAGGTTTTGCAGGGTACCCCGTCCCTGAAAAGTTCGAGGGCTTGATTCACCATACGCCTTAGGTGCAGCGACTAGTGGGCCAACAGGCCGCGGTGCGTTCGCGCCATGGAGTCGTTTTGTTCGCGGGTGACGGAGTCAACAAGTGGCCTAGCTCAGATTGGGAGCTTTGAAGCTTTGAGTTCAGACCTCTTGACTTTTGACCTGCCACATTCTGGTCCAGACGCTGTGTCCCCTTGTGCAGACCCCCGAAAAGGCGCCCAGTGGCGTGAGGTCTTGAAACTGGGCGTTCTTGCAAAGCTGGATTCCGCAAGCCAGGCCGCAGTGTGCTTGGCAACGAGGCCGAGCAGAGATACGTAGAGGCCGGGTTTGTCAATTAGCAGCTCGGGTAATTCAGACTTTGAGAGCAGTTGGGCGAACACTCATCTTGTACTCAGCTGCTGTCAATGGAAGGTGTTTTCTGCCTGCTGCTGCTGTTGTTGCTGTTGCTCTTGTTCATGTTCATTGGCTTGTTCTCGTTCTTTTGCGGCCTTTTGAACTGGACCTGTTGGCTTTAGCAGCTATCTTGCACAGCACGGGCTTTCAGGCGATCCAAAGCCTGAAAGAGGGCATTCAGAAGGAGCAGTACAATGTCCGCATGCTGCAGGCCCTCCGTCCCTCACGTCGTTTGGTCGCGTGGAGTCGCGTTAGGGGTCCCATTTTTTTGTTTGGCTGGTGAGTTCCGTTGGTTCGCTGCGTGCGAGCAGATACAGTCGGCAAGGCTGCGCGTGCAACTTCTTACTCGCACAAGAGTGAGATGGAGGCACAGATGGGATGTTGCGTGGGTTTGATGCAGTCATTTGTTGATCACTGCCACTTGCGGGGGCTCGGAGGGTGAAGGAATGTTGCAGACATGAGGGCGTGAATCCTGTGGGATGGTTAATGGATGTGAAGTGCGCGCAGAGAGAGTTGGGGGATTCAAGAGGTCAAAACTTTTGTGCCAAAGCATTTGGGGAATAATCAATGTCAATAGTCCCTTCGGCCCCAAATGGCCATGAGCAACTTGTCCCATGTGAGTGACAGATCATATCTTTTTAGTTGTGTTCCAACCAATGGTCATCCCATGTCGGACAGGAGTTCTTCCTGAAGTGCATCGACGAAGCCCGGAAAGAGCTCATGAGGCTGTCAGACACTCATTTGATGCGGGCGTTGCATCTCTCCATCCGTCAGGAAGAAGCACATCACGGTGAACTGGGAAAAGTCTGACAGGCCTGCCGTTTGAGAGCATGCTTGTGCCTATTTTACAGCGAGCTCACCTGAAAAAGAACGAGCTCATCATGATAGAAGGTGCTTGCAATTGGGGATCCCTTAGTTCAGCCTTTGGAATTATGGCAAATTGCGCGGCATTCATGCTGACTTCGAATATTTATGTCCGGCAACCAATCGTTGACAGTGCACATACCGGTAAGCTTTGGAGCGAAGTGCCTCACAAAAGCCAGCGGCGCGAGGGAAAAGGTGCTGGAAGCCATGCTCAACAACGAGGACGCATGCAAAGTGTCAAGCATCAATTGAAAAAATGCCGGACGGTCTGACCTTCCAAATGCCGGACGGCTTGGTTGGGTGAAAAGGCCAAGGTCACAGGTTGCACTGACCTCTGACCTGGTCACGGGAAGAAGAAACGCGTTCTTCCGGCTTTTGAGGACATTCTGGTGTGTCTCTATGAGAAGCTCTTCCCACACCGAACAGGCATTGCCAGGACGGACTGATCGACTCGAGGCTCCCGGACTGGACATCGAGTCATCGAGTCGAGTTCGACCGTGGTGCGAGAAGGGAATGACGGCCGGGTATTGGGAATGAACCGTTTGGGGATTCCCTTAAAGGAAACCATGGGGGATTATAGGGGTCTCCTTCCATCTTTTTTCTCATTCTCTGGATGGATTTAGGGTAATAGAAAGGAAGCCAAATTGCATGGATGCTTCTTCTCGGTCGGCCGTTTCTTCCCTCGGATCGATCGCAAGAAGACGACACCCAAGTGGAGGAATTTGTGTGGCTCACGTTTTTGTTTTTTTTTCCAAGGAGCTTGGGAGGCGCGAACGAGGCTGGTGCGTGCTCATGACCTCAGCCGAAGATTGCAATGGCTTGCAATGCAATGATTTGGAGGGTCCGCGTATGGCGACCCTCCAAAATGGTGGTTTCCTGTTGATTTCCCATTGAAGCCAAACAGATGTGACGGGTCATGTCGCTGGTTTCAGAAGGATAGATCACGCTGCTTTCGGTTCAAGTTGGGCAACGCTTGGACCAGCCCACTGTTCAATGGAGATAAGCTGCAAACGGAAGAGTTGAGGATATTCAACAACATGCTATACTCACCCAGCAAACAACATCGGAAACACCGTCTGAGTCATCAGCATGCATGACACGTGTAGCAGATCAAGCCTTTGGATTTTGGCGCGAAACACCCGTCGCATCCATGGCGCTGTCGCTAGCGCTGTCGCTTGCGCCGCGGGCACCCGCAGCCCCCCAGATGGAAGGCGTGGCATTTGGGCTGTTCGTTCATGAGAGGAGCGGCTGTCCTGTTGAAGTCTTCAACCGTGCCTGCTTCGTGCGGGTGTATAAACTCTAGTAAAGAACGGCCACTTCCAGGACCGGCTCCAAAATGTTGCTTTTGAAGCTCCAAATGGCCAACTTTCCACATCTGAGCTGAAATGTGTCAGTTGGGTAGCAGTACATGCCTTTGCGTCAAATGTACAAGCGGCTTGGACGCGCAAATGTTTGCTCACTGGGAGAGGGCATCATTGCAAAGGTCCAAGTTGCACTTTAGATGCTGCACAGCCTGTCACACAGGACACAGGGAGACGCATCTTTTTGTGCAACAAATTTCTTCAACTTCAGGTCTTGTTTGGACCCTGGTTTCATTTCTTCACCTGAGATTGTTTTTTGCCGTCAAACACATTGTTCGACATTTGTATGGCACCAGCGCTCCTCAGGATTGTTTCCAGGGTCAACTCCGACCGGTTGATCTCACTGGCTGCCTTTTGGGATGGACCCAAAACGAGGCTTGCGCATCGAAAATGCGGATGCGGCATCTCAATCTCAGGCCCCAGCAGAGGCGCCGGCGTTGGTGCTATGTCGGTGGCTCCGTCAAGCACGGGCTATGTTGCGACGGCCTGCGGCACGACCGTCACGCGGCAAAACAGCGGTTTGACTTGTTGTTGGCCATGTAGATTGACCAAGTGTGAACATCGTTGCGGGCAACGGGGAGCGTTTCCAAACCATCAACGAATATCGCGGATGAACGTCGGCCTCTTTTCAGGGGCATAGGGGGGGGCCCTGCCCACTTCCCACGGGCTCGCCGAAGACCTCGCCCTGTGTGTGTTTGCAAGGTGGTCGCCCTGGCTGCTGCCAGGCATTCCAAAAGGCAGGAACGCGCATGCACAGCGCATGGTCTTTCAAGTGTCCGGCACTCACTTGGGTATGGGTCAAAATTCAACCACCAGGATATGGACCGCAGGTTTTAGTCCATGTTTCCATTTACCAGAGTTCTATTTTGGGTTACTCTACTTTTGACCCACAGCCACTTCATGGCTGAGCGACGACGTGGCGACGGCTTGTGGCCAGGCCCAGAGCCGCGGTGACGGCTCGAGCCGAGAAGTCCAGCCGAAGGCGCGAGCCGATTCAATCCCCGAGCGGCGTGCACGGGCGGCAGCACCTTCGTAAGCTCTGCTTTGTGACTTGCAAAAATGGTTCGTTTGTCGAAAGGGCAGTGACCTGTTCAGAAGGAAGGCCCGAGCAAGAAAAGTGACCCGCCTGAGACCAATTCTTCGTCCACTGCCTTCTCAGAGCCATCCACATCATGCTGTATCTTCCAACGAGCGTTTTGATATGCTTTTTGTGCTTGCGAGCTTTTTTTGGCAAACGAGCGCTATTTAGTCTTCGAGCGTTCGGTCAGCCAACTGGAAGACTGCTTTGCAAAGGAATTGAGGCTCCTTTGGAGAACACTTTGCGCCATGCGGTCAATGTATTGAACAGAGCAGCATCTTTCCTGGCTGAAACGGGCAAGGCCGCACAACAAGCGCACTTTCCCGCTGCAAAAGCTCAATTTCCCGCCACACGAGCGCACATCAAAAAGTGCTAGTCTTGTCACGTTCGGCGCCCGCTGCAAATGTTGCACATGAGTAGCAGAAAGACTGAGCCCACACGATGGGCAGTTTCTTCTTGTTCGATTTCCGCATCCGAGCGTGTTTTCTTGAACCGAGCGCTTTACAGATAAACGCGCGGAAATCTGCACGAGCGGAAAATAACGCTCATCGGAAGATTCAGGATGTTGAACAGTTCTGGCGGCTGATGGGAAAAGGGGCCCGCGCAAACTAATCTAGTGCTCAGCGGTGCGAAACAGAATGTCCGTTTGAAGGCAAACCAACGGAGTGACACTACTTTAGGGGGGCCAGTAGTTTGTGTCGAAACGCTCAAAACGCTCACGCGCAGGTGAAGCGTAAGCATATCTGACTCCCGTGTAGGCTAAAACACAGGCTACTCCAGCAAGATCCAGCAAGCGTTCTTTGTACAGTATTCTTATACTACTCTTTTAGTATCCTACAGGGGTGGATCCACAAAACCCGCATCCAAACCGTTTCCATTCGACTGGCCCCTTTCGCTTTCACCGGCAAAAGCCGGGTGCCGCCTGAGAGTCTCGGCAGGCATTGGCCGCTGCTGTCCTTGGGCCTGGTGCTGGGACCGCTCTTATCCCCTGCGCTGGCGGCAGAGAGGCGGGAAAAACCCGAGTTGCTTCGTACTTGCTGTGCAAATCAAACAGAGCCAAGAACAGTCTGGGATTTCATGTTTTAAGCTCGAAGAACAGGTGTCTGGGATTTCAGTTCCAAGCTCCACTGGAAAGGTACAAAGTGTACAAAGACAAACAAGTGCTCACGAGTCGGTATTCGGGTTGTCACTGCTTCCCGGCCCGTCGCTTGAACCGCCTTCGAGCTGCGAGACTCGGCGCGGTAAGTCCTGATCTGAAGAGGGCAGCTAGGGCCAAAACTTTGCTTTCCCAGTTTTTGGACTTCATGGTTTTCCAAAGGTCATTCTGGGGGCGTTGTACTTAAAGTGCATGAACAAAACCCGAGCATGTCCGTGCAGGGCGAATCACAACAGGCCGACGGCTGGAGCGCAAAAGGGTTCTAAACAGATGTTGCAGGAAAGGCCAGCGAGAGTAAATCTAGGCCCCTGCATTTTGATACTCGTTAAACAAACATAGAATAAACAACAACTTGCAACATACTTCTGGCAAGTTCCTTCGAGAAGCTCGTGCGAGCGTCCTTTGCTGCTCCACCATGAGACTTTTACAGTGACTCTGCCTCCCGCGCAAAGGGCATGTCGACAATACCCTTTGTATGAATATTGCGTGGGGTGCCAACCACAACCCCCCTCTCCCAAAGACGTTCGAAGCCTCTCCCCAAAGACATTCAAAGACGCTTGTTTTCTATGCAATAGCCAGAAACCCACCAATTGGGTGTGTCTGTTTAAGGTTGGACCCAGAATGGCTTTGCTTTTCCTTGCTCAAAACCATGAAACAACCAGCTGGAAGAAGTTTTTGGGAACCGGGAACCGGTAGCTCATGAAAACACCAGCTGGTAGATTCTACCAGCTGCAAACCGGAAACCGTTCGCTCACCCCATTGGAGGGACGACGCCTCGCTGCGCGGAGGTGGGACTCGCTGTGCGAACGCTACGCGCCCAACACGGTGCCGGTGACGGCGAAGAGCGGGGAAGCGGAGGTGGCGCTCGCCAAGCACCTGAAGCTTCCTGGCCGGGGAAAACGCCTTTGGAGTGGGAGCTGGTACCTGATTCTTATGGCTTTCAAGTAAAAGGGTGCACCCACTCCTCTTTGTTGGTTGGGCAGCCTGGCTGACGAATGTCAACCCTGGATCAATAACCCCCTGGTTGATTAATAGGGCGTCCATTCCTTTTAGTGGGGATTCAGACCACTTTTGGAGGGAACACCCCCCCCACTGGGACGGGTTTATTAATCCTGGGTTAATGCCTTTGGAGTGGGACCAGGTGGTACCTGAGTCTTATGGCTTTCAATCAAAATCAAGGGGTGCACCCACTCCCTTTTTTTGGTTGGGCAGCCCGGCTGACGAATGTTAACCCTGGATCAATAAACCCCAGGTTGATTAATAGGGCGTCCAATTCCTTTTAGTGGGGATTCAGACCACTTTTAGAGGGAACACCCCCCAATGGAACAGGTTTATTAATCCTGGGTCAACGCCTTTGGAGTGGGACCAGGTGGTACCTGATTCTTAGGGCTTTTAAATACAAAGGGTGCACCCACTCCTTTTTTTGGTTGGGCAGCCTGGCTGACGAATGTTAACCCTGGATCAATAAACCCCTGGTTGATTAATAGGGCGTCCAATTCCTTTTAGTGGGGATTCAGACCACTTTTGGAGGGAACACCCCCCCTAATGGGACGGGTTTATTAATCCTGGGTCAACGCCTTTGGAGTGGGACCAGGTGGTACCTGATTCTTAGGGCTTTTAAATAAAAAGGGTGCACCCACTCTTTTTTTTTCTTTTTTTTTTCTTTTCTTTTTTTCGGTTGGGTAGCTGTGTTTGTCGTTTTAGTGTTTTGGCTGACTCTGTCCTGTTTCCATGGGGGGTTCCCGAATGGCAGTGTCTCAGGAGTTGTGTGCATGTCACTGGACGGGGCATCCAGGAAGCTAAGTGCGAAAAGCGTTTGAAAGTGCCGATGCGGCAATTTCCCTCTGGCCCAAGATAGATGCGGCCAGAAAGGAGCAAAGCAAGTCTATGAAGCAGCCTCCTGATTCGCAGGGAGAAAGACGTCCTGATTTTCTGCACCTGGTTCTCCCGCGACTGCCAGGACGAAAGCCTTCGATTCTGGTGGCTTCTGTTTGTCTCCTTTCCACGTCCAAAGGGAGACCCAAACACCATGTCACATGCAATTGCACGGCAAGTTCCTGGCAGCCTGGTGTGGTGAAGGTCCTTCAAATTTTCAAGCATTGGTTTGTCGAAGGCCTGACTACACTGCACAATTTGTTCTAGATTGTGTATATAATATTGTTCCCGAAACAGTCATCCACATACGTAGGATCTTCGATGGTGAAGTGCCAATGTAAGGGCGAACTGGCAACTGCTCACAAAACGCTGCCAACATGCACGATAATTCAGTTGTTGCTCATGATGCATCGAGTACTTTCTCTGTGAGAGAGTCTCTCTGCAACTAGCAAATCTCATTCGCATTGTATCGGCATTGGAGCAGTTTCTTGATTCGCCACAGAATTCGTTGATGTCCTTTCAAAGAGACGGAAATCTGACTGACAGTCTGACAGGAGGTCGCTTGGAGCTCTGTCCCTCCGAGCTGTCAGGATTCCTCCAGGATCGTTAGTCCCACGAGTCCCAGTGGAGTGCCTTCAATTGTATGATTTTTAAGAAATTGGAACCTGCAAAGTGGTTCATGGGCAAAAGTTCTGCACCTAACAATGTCCACCATGTCGGGTCCCTAATCAAGCGATTGTTGGATCAATCTGATGTTTTCCTCCGGGATCCTCCGCGTTTCGCCTCGTTCGTGTGAACTCAAGGTCTATCAAAAAATCGCACCCAGCTGGGTGTGTCTTTTTTTTCCCCGAGTTGGTACCCCATTGGTGTTTTTTTCACCCAACTGGGTGTGTCTTCCGAATCTTCTTTCGAGTTGGCACCCCTTTCTTGTTTTTTATTATTATTTTCTCCCCGGGACCAGAGGAACCTCTGGGTTGCGCCGTTGTTGGGGTGACTTTTAACGCCCGTCCGTCCGGGAGATCTCGCGACTCGCCACTCGCGACTCGAGTTTCTCGCGACTCGCGTCGCGTTTCTCGGAGGAGCTCCGGGAGATCTTCGGACAGGAGGCGGCGGCCTTGGCGCCCTTCGTGGAGTGCGGGGGCCTCGATTCGGCCTCGTGGCGACCGACTCGGCACCGGCCACCGGGCGTTTTGTTGTTTTTGTTGTTTGGTTGTGGGGGGTTGATCATGGGTTGATCAAAACGTAGGTCCGTAAAACCTGGGATTGGTTGGACAACCACCAAGAATACAGCGTGTCCCGTTAAATGGGAAAAGCTAGCTATGGTCCAAACTGGGGGCCGAAGGGAATGTTGATCAGCCCCCACATCACTTTTGCTTGGGGCTTTGAAACAACCAAAGTAAATAGGTTCATACTCAGGAGTTTTGACATCCACCATTTTCGACACGCCTGGACGTGTCGTACGGTCTGAGGCGCCGACAAGGACCGGAACTTCCTGACAGACAGGTGCCCGCAGCAGACCCCCAACCTCATGTGGGAGAAGAAATCGCCGGAGCCTCACAGCGGGGTGTCAACCAAACGTTTGGCCTTCCCCGTTTCCCTTTAAGCAAGCTTCAAAGGGGGTAGTCTAAGAAAGCACGACATGCCCGCAACCCACAAGGAACAGTTCTGGGTCGGGTTTCGGGATCCAAGGTGGCAAGGACAGTCAGGGTTTGTGGCATTTGGCCTTTATGTTCCGCCCCGAGTCTGTGTTTCCCTCGCAGTCTGCCACGAGCTCCTGTGAGCCACGTAGATTCATTTGACAGGGCACTTGCTGCAAGGAACGGCGAGTATCCCTTGTGGTCTATCGGGGAGGAGTTCTTTAAGGCGCAGGACGGGGCAGCCGAGCGAGTTGCGAGTGTTTTGTTTTTCCTTCTTTTGTCTCCTTCTTTCTTTCCGGAATCAGCTAAGCGAGTTGCGAATCCTTGGCTTAGGACGAGATCTCTCTGGCAGATGCAGCAAAGCAATCAGCTTAGCATGTTGGAAGTTCGCCCGAAGTTCCGGAAATGCCATGGGAAGCTGAGTTCGCGGTTCATTCGACAGAAAGCCGCACGTGGCAGAGCCAGGGATCATCCCAGTTGCCCAGTTGCCCGGCCTCTTTTTTTCTTTTTGTTTTTTTTTGGGGAAGGGTTCCCTTTTTAACCTCAACCGACAAAAACAAAAAGATGCTCCAATTTTTTTCCCCACGGCTGAGTCATGGCGACTGAGGATGACGAACTTCAAGGAGTTCCCCTTGTCGCAGATCCGTACCGAGCCGCTTCCCTGGCCGGGCGTCAACGGACTCAAGTTGCCTTCGGCTGGTGTGGCAAGGGTTTGGCTTAGCATATTCACTAGCAACATGCTGATGATGCATTTGTTGTTTATTAATCAAAAGCAAACAAACACACAAGACATGTGTTTAAATAAACAACCCAATGCATGTTCTCTATGCAGCAGCAGGGCCAACTGAGGAAGCAATGCAGCGCTGCGCTGAGTGCTGAGGTCCGACTTCGAGAGCACTCGCTACATCTGGTCCTGAAGCGGAGCTTTGGACCGAGAGAAAAGATGGGGCGCGTGCATGCCAGTTGCATCCAAGAAAGTCTTGGAGGTGTCTAAGCGATTGGTGGAGATCTGGAAATCGTATCCCTTGAATATAGAAGTTGACTCGGAGCAAATTGTTGGCAGATTGGGAGATCCCTTCTTGGGAAGCCGGGTCTGTGGGTCTCAGCCTTTCGTGGCCGGCTGAGTCTATTGCCTTGCCAGGGCCCCCAGACTCTGGACTTCTAGGCCGCGCGTTTTTGTTCCTTCGGCCGAGCGAAGGACGGATGGCTCGGTGCTTTTTTGAGTCGGTGCCCTGTTTTGGGTGTTTTTTAAGGGAAGCTGAAAGGAAAGCCCAAGCCGTTTTCGGGTGTCTCCGAAAAAAAGAGACATCTTTGTAGATCACACACACGGCGCATGGACGGAGAGACTGCCAGGCAGCTCACTTCCCACGAATTCCAGGCACCAAAGTGTGTGTCTCAGTCGTTGCACAAGAACAAGTCTCCAGGCGTCAAGATTCATTACAGGTGAGAGCAGAGGCCTCCTGATGGGAAGCCAATGGCCACGTCTCACTGAAAGTCTCACTCGTGCAACAGGACCTGTTTCTTGACCCAAAAATAACGCTGAGCGCGGCGTGGCAAGGCGGCCTGACAGCCAATCTGTTCGAAGATTCGAAGCCAAGGCTCTGAAGCATTTGTGTGGAGCTCACCTGGCTGGCGCCGGAATTGTGCACGGAAGATCCACCAAATCATTGGGAAACGTGAGGTGTTTTTTTGCGCGCGACATGCACTCTTTCTCAGGCCATGGTATGCAAGCTTTAGCGAGCATTGCTCAGCTGATTTTGCGCTGTCTTTGACACTTTGGCTATGCCTGCTGACTGGACTGCAGTAGCAGGTGCTGCCGTCGGTGTAGAGCAAAACGAGCACTGGGGCACGAATTTCAACCTCACAATGACTCGTCGAGTTCCCTTCAGTGTGGTCAGTTCTGCCCACACCGACATGTTGTGTGGCACACAGGCATTATGGGTGTTTGTTTTTTACCTGAGAAACTCGTTAGGTTGGTTTCGACGGGATGGCAAAAGGAATCATGAGGAAAGCATTTTGGGGTCACCTAGGTTTCAGTGCAACCCACTTGATCTGCACGAGGCGTTTCAATACCGCACGGAAATGAATGCATGCATGGTGTGGTGCTCCAATACCGGGCGCAAAGGTAAGTTTGCCACTGTGCTCATGGGGGTAAGTTGTTTCCGCCGACACCGATATGCGCCGGCTCTGATGGACATCAGTAGTAGGTTCCAGGCAAGTTGTTAGTGCACTCACAAACACGCACGTGTCCACATCACATGGCACTTGGCAGCAAACAGATCACGAATTGCCGATAGTACAGTCACACGTGGTTGTGCCAGAGGTCGCAGCACGAAGGCCAGCGAGCACGACCAAGCACTTTTGTGAGATTGAACTAGCCCGCTTCGTGGAGAGCAGCACACCTGGAGGCTGGGTCCCAATTGAGATGCCTATGCCATGAGGCAGAGAGGTTCCCCAGTTTTAAGCATGCTACGCCCGGGAAGCCATGCAGTGCCCAAGCTGCAACATCTGAACTTGTTGCTGGCCAACCTGGTCGGCTGATCAGGTTCAGACAAACCCGGATCAAATTGACTTGAGCTCATTCCTCAACGTCACATTGGGTTGGCCCCAGAACCAGCTGCAGGTGGCGTTGTTTTTTGGATGGGCCGCCCCAAGGGCGTGGGCCCGGAGGTGGGCCCAACTCCAGTCCCATCAAGTCTGAGCACTGCTCCGGGCGACGCGTGTGCGCACTGTATTGGTGATTTTTGCGGAAATACCTATTCCCGAACAACGATGCAGGAGCGGTAGGCCAAATGATGCAAGTGCTGTGTGGTTGCCGGGCCCTGTGTCAACGGCCAGAACGAATGACTTCTGCGCGCTGTAAAACATGTAAATACGGGGCTGTCTTTTTGTGAGGGCCGTTCGAAAACCGAGGTCCCGACCTAAGACCTAAGTTTCTTTGATCAGATAGATGTTGGCCTGTGAGGTGGAAACGCGGTTTCCGGAAGCTTCAAACACGAAGAACTGCCAGCCGCAAAGGGAAATATAAGCCTTTGCATGGCGTTGCGTTTGTCAAACGGCGAATTCAAATTGGACAGTT